GCAGCAGCAGCTGACAGTGGTACAACAGCAGCAGCAGCTGATGGTGCTACAGCAGCAGCAGCAGCTGACAGTGCAGCAGCAGCAGCAGCTGACGGTGGTACAGCAGCAGCAGCAGCTGTACCACCAATAGTAGCGATGGTTGATTGGGGTTTATTATACAACCTGGCCAGCTCGGAGACACGCACTCCACTTTCATACTTATCAATGATATTTTTCTTCATCTCTATAGTAATTCTCACCCTTATTGCTGTAGGGTTGGCACTAGAAGCTTTCTTGGGGCCCATGGTCACTTATTTTGCAGATAAAATCACCAAAAACACTGTAATAATACGAAATGTTCCGATTGTATGCTTGGATGTTACCGCGGAGGCTGGCTGGTAAACAATGCCACCGGCGGCACATGTGAGGCTGGCTAAGGGCGCACATTGGACGCGTCTCGGACGAAGAGCGGTGAGCGGGTTTTTGAGCGGTATGCGAGGCAAAATTTTTGCGATAAAAGCGAGCGGTATGCGGATTGAACGTTATGTGATGCGTACGGTGTGCGGGGGTCCACTGTATATGAAAGCAGGTGATGCCTTAGCATTGCCTGTAAAAAGTACTGATGGGGAAAACATTTCAGAAATTCATTACAGAATACTAACTTTACTTCTTAGTACAACCATTGTGTAGTGAAAATTCACTATCCATATCAACACATGAACCACAGTCATCCACCTCAGGCTAATAGGTCCACATCAACCCTCTCCACAAACTTTTAAGTCTACAAATTACAGCAATTATAGTTAAAGGTACAAAAAAAAAAATTTCCTTTAGTATTTTGAAATTTTGGGGGGAGGGTTCATCAGAAACACGGCTCGAACAAGTGTATAAGTCTTCAAGAGGAAACTGGACAAGTATCTTCACCGGGTGCCAGAGCAACCACGCTGTGATGGATATGTGGGGGCAGCGGGCCTCCAGCAGCAGCAACGGCCTGATTGACCAGGCAAGCACCAGAAGAGCCTGGCCCGTGGCCGGGCTCCGAGAGTAGTGAAACTCTCGAAACTCTTCAGAGGTATATCAAAGGTACATCACACTTTTTTTACAATATGATCTTCACATTATTTAACACTTGCTTATATATGCATTTCCAAGAATGTAACCTTTCTAATTGACAGTGAGTCACACATAGCTGAGGATCTACCTGTCTTGTTTACCTTCTACCCCTAAAGCAGCAATTTTGCTTCAGTGATCCAACAGGTAATGTAAACGAGTGTCTTTTGGTAGACTGAAGGGCTCTTGATTCAAGGAACTGATGGTACGATTCCTTGAGTCAAGCTAGATTACTTCCCATTTCTCGGCAATTATTACCTTCATAATCCTGAAGCTCTAAACCCATAATTAATTTTCCTAGATTTTTAATGCAGCATATTCTTTTAGAATCTTTTCTATTCTATAAATTACAGTATCATTACGGTACATTCATGGGAGAAGTGCTAACCCTGTAGGGGTCATAAAGCACCTGGGGAATGGGAGACATATCATATTTGATCCAAGAGCAGGTCCAATAACTTGGATCAAAAATACTTTTCCTGGCACTGAGGTTCCTACCCTGAAAGTTACAGATAGGGCTGAAGTTCGTAACTAACTACGAAAATCATTCCTCCCAAGTGATGTGGGCACTTAATGTATATACATGTGCGCACACACACGCCAGTGTCACTGACATGTATAGTATGCAAAGTCATGGAGAAGATTATCAGAAGAGTGGTGGAGCACCTAGAAAGGAACGAGTTTATCAATGACAGCCAGCACGGTTTCAGGGACGGGAAATCTCGTGTCACAAACCTACTGACAGGGTGACAGCAGTATGACGAGAGAGAGAGAGAGAGAGAGTGGGTAGATTGCATTTTCTTGGACTGTAAAAAGGCATTTGGCACAGTTCCACATGAGATTAGTGCAAAAGCTGGAGGATCAGGCAGGGATAACAGGGAAGGCACTGCAGTGGATCAGGGAATACCTCTCAGGAAGGCAATAGCGAGTAATGGTACATGGCGAGGTGTCAGAGTGGGTGCCTGTGACGAGCGGGGTACCACAAGGGTCAGTCCTAGGACCGGTGCTGTTTCTGGTATTTGTGAAGGACATGATGGAAGGAATAGACTCCGAAGTGTCCTTGTTTGCAGATGATGTGAAGTTGATGAGAAGAATCAAATTGGATGGGGACCAGGCAGAACTACAAAAGGATCTGCACAGGCTGCAGGCCTGGTCCAGCAACTGACTCCTGGAGTTCAACCCCACCAAGTGAGAAGTCATGAAGATGGGGGACGAGTAAAGAAGACCACAGATGGAGTACAGTCTAGGGGGCCAGAAACTACAAACCTCACATCTCAGGGCACATCGACCAAATAACTGCTGCAGCACACGAGCGCCTAGCAAACCTAAGAACAGCATTCCAACATCTTAATAAGGAATCGTTCAGGACCCTGTACACTGTACATTAGGCCCATATTGGAGTATGCAGCGCCAGTAGGAACCCACTCCTAGTCAAGCACGTAAGGAAATCAGAGAAAGTGCAAAGGTTTGCAACAAGACTAGTCCCGGAGCTAAGGGGTATGTCCTATGAGGACAGGTTAAAGGAAATTAATTTGACGACACTGGAGGACAGGAGAGATAGGGGGGATATGATAATGACATATAAAATACCGAGAGGAATCGACAAGGTGGACAGACAAGATGTTCCAGAGATGGGACACAGCAACAAGGGGTCACAGTTGGAAGCTGAAGACTCGGATGAATCACAGGGATGTTAGGAAGTATTTCTTCAGTCAGTTGTTAGGAAGTGGAATAGTCTGGGAAGTGATTTAGTGGAGGCAGGATCCATACATAGCTTTAAGAAGAGATATGATAAAGCTCATGGAGCAAGAAGAGTGTCCTAGTAGCAGCCAGTGAAGAGGCAGGGTCAGGAGCTGTGACCAAACCCCTGCAACCACAACTAGGTGAGTACACACACACACAGTAATAATGGTAACATGATTTCAGCTTCAAGGAAGGTTTCTTGATACCAGCAAGGTACTTTTAGTCCAAGGAAATGGACCAACCATTCCTTGAATTAACCCTGAATGCCTCGTATTCCCAAGGGCTGTAACCTATATGGATTTAGCACTCCTCTAGGAACATAACAGTAATGTGAAATTTCACTGCAATACAATCTGCCATATTTTTAAAATTCTAAAACCCAAATGGGTTCAGTACTTTATTTTTAATACAAGATTCAAAGAAAATTCAACACTATAGAGTGCATACTGATGATAAAATACTTTAGTAGATACATAAATATTCCAGGCCCAAATTTTATTGTACAGTACATAAAAACTTTAAAGATATTTACAGTAAAATACACTAGTTAACAAGAATGACAGTTAAAGACATTCTACAATGGTAATATTGTTATGCTGAAGGACTTTAGGCATTTAGTTGGAGTTACTTCCCTTGTTTAGTTCAAACCTGATTACCTCCAATTCCGTAGATGCTGTTTGACCCTCGCAGGTACAATGCCTCCCCAGGAGTACATACGTTAATAAATGAATTCATTGATTAGTCCCGATTAATATTTATTTTAATTAGGGGAAATCTGAACCCATATTGATCATACAGTACATTGGGAATGGGAGGCAATCAGGTTCATTGCCAAGAAAGAGGACAAGTCCAGTTCCTGAAAAGTCCCTCATCAGCATCATGGCACCTACCTCCCTTGAGAGTTTAAAGGCAGATACAGCATGAAGACATTTAAATGTTATAGTAGCTTCTTGTCTACCATTAAAAAATAACAGGTATATTGTCAACATCTGTACTGCCTCTAAAAACAATGTTAACGTTTGCCTCTTTTTAAATTGTTTTAATACTGTGTTACATAGAGTAGGCTCACTTATGAAGCTCCTGTGTATAATGTAATAACGTGATTGAAAAAATATATTCAAAATTCAACAGCACATACTATGAAGGCTTTTCCACTTTGTAAATGCAATTGGAAAAGTACATCCAGAAACTAACACTAAGAGAGCTAGCTGTAATTCTCATCTCATTATTATTACAGGATGGTCTACCCTCAGTGAAACTCTTGATACAAAAAACTGGCTTAATTCTTCCCTTGGATCAAAACTGATTGCCTCTCATTCCCAGGCACCATACGACTCCTAAATGCTTAGCACTTTTACCCAGTTGAAATCAAATCAAATGACTGAGCTTCATAGTTCTTAATGCTTGTCTCAACAGTCAATTCATATAGTAGACAAGTACATAAAGTATATAAAAGAAAATTCTGTACTAAACTTTCATAAGCAAATTTCAGAGTCCTTAAAGAGTGCAGAGATCTCTGCAGCCTATTAGCCTCTTTCTTGAGATTTATTTTTGTGGTTGTGGGAACTGTATGAGCAATGGTAATACTGTTTTTATTTTATTTTTTTTATGAATAGCCTTGCCTAAAAGAAGGTACATTGATCCAATCCCTTTACTTGGATCGAATCTGACTGATGCCCATTATCCCAGGTGCTGTATGACCCTTGATTATAATATAAATGGTCTGTTTCCTATTCCTAAAGGATACTTGAATGAGCTGACGTTGTGCAGTGAAATATTTTACCCGTGTTAACACTATTTTCAGATTAAAGCAAAAAAAGGTTGTTAAAAATAACCAGTAGTTAGTTACACTCATGCCCTCTACAAGTGTTTTTGTGCAATACAGTAATATTAATATAAACAGCTTCTTGGAATCTTACATTTTCAAAACTGTGTAGTGACTTTACCAAATCTTATAGGAAGTGTGTAAAATGCTAGGAACTTAAGGGAAATAGTAATAATACTCAACCTCAAAGGATGAGTGAAACAAATTTTTAGATTGCTGTTCTGTATTTGAAAAATTTCAAGAGTAAAGTGGAATTCTTTTAAAGCGTTTTTTTTTTTCACCGAGATTTGCTGTATAGTCCTTGTGGCTTAGCGCTTCTTTTTGATTATAATAATAATTCACCGAGATTTCTTTACATTTATTATGTCTTCAGTATTTGCTGTATGTTTGCCCATGGCATGCTCTATTTATGTACTTAAACATTAATGGGTCACTTATTGCAGACATTGTATGATTCATTTTCCATATGCATAAAAATTATTCCAAGTATTCAGGGGCTCTGGTGGCCTGGTGGTTAACGCTCTCGCTTCACACGGCGAGGGCCTGGGTTCGATTCCCAGCCAGAGTAGAAACATTGGACGTGTTTCTTTCCACCTGTTGTCTATGTTCCCCATCAGTAAAATGGGTACCTGGGTGTTAGTCGACTGGTGTGGGTCGCATCCTGGGACACTGACCTAAGGAGGCCTGGTCACAGACCGGGCCGCGGGGGCGTTGACCCCCGGAACTCTCTCCAGGTAACTCTAGTGATGCTGCTGCCATTCACCTTCCAGAAGACATCACATGATACATGCTACACTTTTCTCTAGTTCCCCAAATTAAGCCTGAATGCCTTCCACATCCCCCCCCAGGCACTGTATAATCCTCCGGGTTTAGCGCTTCCCCCTTGATTGTAATAATAATAATAATACACTTTTCTCAATCTTGTAATCACAAGCAAGCTACTGCTACTGTTCTCATTCTGAACATGTCTACTCCAAGTTTATAGCTTAAAACCAATACAAGGGTGCTAAAAATAAGCTTTTATTCATGAAGACTCGCTGCATATTTGTTAAAATTATTTTTAAACACTCTTCTGATTAAGATACTAAATGTGCAATACCAGAGTACTATTCAACATTCTGCGTACCACAAGCTCAATCTAATACAGACAAGATGCCTAATATAAGAAGAGAGGTGGAGTGGCAGTAGTAGTCATAAAAGCTTGGGTGGGGGGTTTGCTAGTGGATGTGTAAATTTGATTGGTGTCTGGTAAAAATGGTCAGGCTTGATGAGCAATGTGGTACAGTGGACCCTCCCTTTTCGTTGGGCTCTGTTTTCGCCCATTTCCGTTATCACAAATTTTTTCCGTAAAATTATTGGCTCACTTTCTGTTGCTTTCCTCCATTCTCGTCGGTGGTATGGTACATGTCTAAGTGCTGCGCAGACACAAAGCCTCCCACACGCATTCTGAGGCAGTGTCGCATTGTTTCTCGGTGAGTGATCGTCATCCTGCGAGGCCATAGGAAACATTTTGTAATACGTAATTCATTGTTTTTTTGCACTCGTTTATTGTGTGTGACTGCTAAATAAGCCATTATGGGCCCAAAGAAAGCTGCTAGTCCCAGCCCATTGATAAAGAAGGTAAGAAACACGATAGAATTCAAGAAAAAACACACAGCAAAGTACCCAAGTGGAGGAAGGAGAGAGAGGGGAGAATGTGCCTTTAGTGATTCAGTGATTCTTCGATATGTAAGATACTAAACCAGCAGGAGTCAATAAAGGCTATTGCGCCAGCCAGTGATAAAGTATAGCATTAACAGTGGAGCAAATAAGTTAAGTGAGAAAAAGGATGGCACAAAACTGACTCCTCCATTGTTTGAGGTCTATAGGGCACTGACAAACGTATGCCGCCCTGCCTATCTTCCACCAACCTAAACCAATGCCAGCATCTCCAAGGTACAGTAAGTGTAGATATTTCTTATTTATAAATTATGTACATTGTTTGTGTGAATAGTGTTGGTAGCTTCTGCTGCTGCTGCCTACCACTAATATGTACAGCTTCCTCAGTGGCCCTTATAAACCCAACATCACTACTACTTACTCCTCACATATGTAATGACATTTTATTCATTCTAGAGTATACATCATGTTTCTTTGTTATTAATATTGTTTATTATGTCATATTGAATGAATTGTTATAGATAAATAAGCTGTGGAATATAGTTCTCTGTAAAATGTATTTTTTGTTTATACTTTTGGATATTGGCAGTTTGGAGGGATATGTTGTGTATCTTTATATGTGTATGCTTCTAAACTGTTGTATTCTGAGCACCTCTGCAAAAACAGTGATAATGTGCAAGTGTGGTGAAAGTGTTGAATGATGATGAAAGTATTTTCTTTCTTTTTTGGGTCACCCTGCCTCGGTGGGAGACGGCCGACTTGTTGAGAGAAAAAAACAAACTTTTGGATGTCTGAAACTGATTAACTGGATATACATTATTTCTTGTGGGGAAAATGGTTTCAGTTTTAGTCGATTTCACATTTCGTTGGAGAGACTGGCAGGAATTAAAGATGAAAAGGGATGGTCCACTGTAGTAATATTTATGAAATCACTGTTGGGGGCTTACTGGCATCAAGAACTGCAGATATATATAAACTATTTTGTATGATGGAGTTGGTTGCAATAATGGAATTCTAAAAAACTGTATTTCTGGAGTTCCTGATCATTTTGGTGCTGTTCCAATTCATGTGTCCAAGTGAGCTCCTATATACATATAATAAAGACATGAAGTGTTACACGTGTACTTTTTGAAAGCTTATCATGAACAAAATAATCAAATACTAAACCACTTGGTTTTCCACAAATTATTTTTTTCAATCTATCCTATCAAATTTTCATGTACAATGGAAAAACAAGGCTTGTTGGTGAAACATCAATTATTTTCTTAAGGATCATTATCTGTTTCACAATAGTATAATACAGTACTATACAAGTTGATGTTATGAGCATAGTTACCATACTTTACAGGAAAGTAATAAATGCTTTATTATTCATAAAAGTTCAATGGTGCTTACTGCATGAAACTTCTTGGCATTACTCGGACTTAGCATGATCTTCCTTTGGTTTCTTTGCATCTAAAATCTTCTGGCACTCTGCATAAACGTTATTTAAATCAAAAGCAGCCTTTATGTTATCCTGTAAAAAAGAAGGCAAGTCTGAGTAACAGAGAATAAGCACTGTGCAAATATACAACAATGGTAGGATAATTAAGACATAGTAGTGCAAAAAGAAACTGAATGAATACCTAAGAAGGATTATAAAGGAGATTTATTGCTTCAGAGGTAAAGGACTGCAAGTTAGTACTGCTGCCATCCCTGACCTATAAGAGTAGGACAAACTTAAAATTCAGGTGGAAGACAGGATGTTAAAATGTGTACATTATAAACAGGTAGGAAGGAACAATCAATACTGATAGGAATGTGGGAGAAAAACATTGATGGTAAACTTGCAAAGACGCTTACAACACAAAATGGACAAGCAGCAATTAACTATGGAAGCTTGTGCTACCCAGGCCCAAAATTTATTTACGTAAAGTTTGGTGGTCCTTGCCCCCAAAAAATAAGCAAGACAGTAATCCCTACTTTAACACAAAACCTAACCCCACACGGGGAGAGAGAGGAGCTTTGACGACGTTTTGGTTGATTTGGGCCCATTTACAAAGTCACACTAACACAAAGGAAGAAGAGGGAGTACTTTTAATATGGGCCAGCAGACAGGGGGGGACAAGAGGGGAAGGAGGAAGAGAAGTAGTGGAAAGGTAGCGTAGTAGTAAAGGGTTGGCAAAAATAATAAAGAAGAGACTGAAGGGAGCTGGGGGTGAAAAAGGGTAGAAAAAGAACACAGAGGGAAAAAAAAAATGGCCCAAAATCCCCAGGCGAAAAAAGAAAACCCAAAGGGAAAAGGGAAAAAAGAATGGGTTAGTCAGGGGTGTTCAAAGTTTGGGGCATTTTAAAAAATGTAATGGGAAGAAACATCTACGAGACAAACCCGGACAAGATTCAACAGGAAAGTTGTGTAAAGGGGGGATTCTCCGTGGCAACGTGAAAGTAGAATAGGGTGGGACAGTTTTAGTAAAGACCATCTAGGGACTGTATTCTGACATGCAGAAAAGAGCACTGTTGGTGTCGGAAAGAAATACTACTTTTGTGCTTTTGAGTCTGCAAAGGGGAAAGGGCCGTTTCCCCAAAGTACTGAAGAGGACAGGGGGGAACAAGAAATAGAGTAGAACCAGGAGACCTTAAGGGAGGAGGGGTATGAATGTTTATGCAAAGAGTGTTAGCTGGGAAAAGTAAGTTTGATGTCTAAGGAATGGGAGATTTGAGTTAAAAAGAGGGGGAAATGCAGGGAAGGCGGGGGAAGGAGAGTTTCAAAAAGGTTTAAAGGAGAAGAAAGTCCATTGAGACATGAAAGGAGAGTTTTGAAAGGGGAAAAGGGGTAGAAAAGAGGGGAAAATGAATTATGAAGAGTGGAAATTTCGATTAAAGGAATGGGATAAAATGCGGAGGCACGGGAAACGGGGACATTAGAACATTTTTTTCTTGACAGAGGATGCATAAGAAAGTAGTGAATGTAATGCCACTGTGCTAGGCTTGCGGTACACAAAAACAAAACCTGTATCTAAACGATAGACATGAACATAAAGGAAAAAAAGAAAGGGAATGAATTCCATTCAGTTTAAAACTTAAGAAAGGGCAAATTATTAAAGGGGCATCAAGAAATGGTGGAAAGATAAGTCATGGGGCCCAAAAAAGCAAGATGTCATCTACATAGAGACCCGAGTGAAGGGCGCACACAACAGAGGAAAAAGAGCAGTCTCGAAGTATTCCATGTAAAGATAACAAAAGAGGAAGGAGGAGAGCCCATAGCGAACCAAAGGCAAAATTTTCTCAAACCTTCAGTTTGCTATGGGCTCTTTTTTTTTTTCCCCTGTTTCTTGCTAATTTAAAGGAAATTTTTGAAACTGCTTTTTTTCCTACTATTGATTGCGCCCTTCATCTGGCCCCGCTTTTTTAGACCATTTTTGCCCCTTGGTGTTCATATTTACAGTTTTATTTAACAACTTTTATGGTGGCTAACTAGATATGGTTGTTAATTTTTTGAAAAATGTTTAAACCCTTTGTGTGGGGGTAAATTAAAAAAACGGACTTGAAAATGTAGAATTTAAAAAGAATTCATTTTAAATTTTACATTTCCACATAAACGGACACCGATAAATTTCTCTAAAACAGAGTAAGGCCGCCATCACAAATCCGGCAATCATTATTTTTCCTTCAGTTATTCGGCACTAATTTTGGCTAGCAAATTTCAAATTTCCGGGGTCGCCACCCCAACCCTGGGTATTTTTTGGTGGCGCATGCTGCATAAGTCATTCCTTTCTTTTTTCCATTTAGTTTTAAACCTGCTTACTTTTAGCCCTGGCCAGGGTTCCAATAAATTTTAAAAAAAATGCTTTCATTTTTAAAAGACCTACAGAGTACATTATCCTTTAAAAAGAAAAGGGGCTTTGAACCCACGCGGTTGCCATGAGTCAGTCTCTGAAACGGAGAAAAGCTTTATTATTAGTAATACAACATACAGCTTTTTTGCCTATCCAATTGATTAATATACGAAAAAAACAATATAAATAAAATATTATTATTTTTATTATAATAAAAAGAAGCGCTAAGCCCCAAGGATATACAGCGCGCAGGGCAGGAAGGAAAAGAGGGCATCAGGGGGCAAAAGGGGATGGATGAGTAATAGGTTCGGATGAACAGCGGGAAATGGATGGTGAAAGGGGAAAGGGGACAGAGCGAACTAGAAGGGTTGAGGGGTGCGAAAAAGTTCTCAGAGGTTTTTGGAGTAAAATAAACGTTTTCAAGAAGTCAATGGAAAAGGGCAGGATTAAAAGGAGGGTCCCCCCAGCAAGAAGGGAAGGTAAAAGAGAGGGGTAGAACGAAAACGACGTTGGAGGTAAATTCTGCTGCTCGTTGTAGAGGGGCAGTCTAACAGAATGTGGTTTTAATTTATACTGGAACTTGACATGTCACAGGAGAACAGGGTGCCTCTCCATGAGAACCCATGAGTAAGACGAGTGTGGGCCAAAGCAAGGCGGGAGAGGTTTGGGCTCCCCAACCCGGCACTGGACAAAAGACGGCCAGTAACCTATGCCGGTTTTTAGAATGAATTTGTTACCGAGCAGATTGACCAACGTTTCTTTCCAACGGGGCGAAGTGGGTAGCTATTGCAGCAAAATAGCCCCAAATGGAACACCTCATAGGAAATTGGTAGGTCATGTCTGCGACGCGCAGCATGTTGCCGTTCATTGCCCTGTACGTCGACTGACCAGGGGCCAACAAGAAACAAAAATCTTTATGTTTGGGAGAGTACGGCGGCCAAAGTTTGGGTACGGAGAACTAGGGGATGAGATGTATCAAATTTTGTATAGCCTGTGAGCACTAAGGGAGTCTGAGACTACACAAAGAGACCAGGATAGATGCGATACGAATAAGTGCGCAAGAAAGGCATACGTTCACAGTTAAAAATGCTAGCTAAGTATAAATGCCCCCCCCCGCGCTGTCGGAAACACTGCTGCGAATCCGACGCCCCTCTGAAGACTTAGAGCCATCTGTGTACCACGGTGGTGAGAATGGGAGAGGAAATGATCAAGAAAAAAAGGGGGGAAGCCACCCGGGGGTTGAGTTTCGGAAAAGGGGGGAGAAAAAACAGCCCCAACACTGGAACTTCCCCGGGGGGTAGGGAAAAATGAGATGCTACTGAACATATAAAAGGGGGTAACGAAGGGGAAGACAAGAGTGAAGTAGGCGAAGAAAAGGGACGGGGAAACAGGGCGGCGAACGAATAAAGAATGTCTATAAATCGGTGACCATTTATAAAGGAAAGGATTTTGTAATCAGAGAGCGTACATAGTAGCGAAGGGAATGGGGGTCACGGCGATCAGACAAGGATGGAAAATTCCTTTTGTAAGAGGCTCTCAACAGGGGGGAAAAGCGAAAAAGCGCCAAGGGACAAACGTAATCCTTGGTGATGGATAGAGTTAAGGTAGAGAGATAGCAGGAAGGCCGCGGGTAAATTGGTCACCATAATCGGTTTTGAATTTTTAAAAAGAGGGCCCCGAATGTACGAAACGAGTTCGACGATCGCTCCCCCCGGAAAGATGAGCAAGGGTTTTAAAAAGGTTTTGCCGGCTGTGACAAGTTGCCTTTAGAAGGTAAAAGTGAGGTTTCCAGGATAACCCCACGCAAAGAGAAGGCCTAGAAACCGACTGTATCCGTTTGGGGATACGGGAGCCATAGAGTACAAAAAGGATGATCGGAGATAAAAAGCGCTAGTGAAAGTAATTTGGGGGTTTTGGTATTGAAAAATTTTAAAACCCTGCGTGGTGGCCCAAGTGGGAAAAACGGTCGACCACATGCTGGAGAGAAACTGCAAAAGATACAGGGCGCGCCTGCACAAGCAATAGCGAAGTCATCAACATAGGTGATGCCAAAAAATTGGGTGGAAAAACAGAGGCCAAAAAATTTTTTTTATTTATTTATTTATTTCCAAATTTTAGCACACATACAGAGGTACAAAAAAAAAACAGATAAGCAGCATGCCAAAGCCACTTATACTTTCTACATTACGGGTGGCTTAAAAATTTAAATTAAGATTAATAAGCAATGATGAAATCAGTGATAAAACATTAAAGTAAACAATTTCTATAAAGCACAAGTGAGTATTACAAAGACAGGTCTATGGGGGCATTCAGTCATTGAAAGGGTTCTGTTAGGTAGTTATTTAAAAAATAAAAAAGTTTTATTGGTTTTTTGGTTTAACATTTTTGTGATACAATTTGAAAACATTTAGATATACAATTTATAAGGTTCAGTTATTCAGTATTTTTTGGTTTTGGGTGAGTAAGTGTCTTTGAGAAGAGACTTGAATTTATAAACATAGGTTTCTTTTATATTTACAGTAATGAATTCCAGATTTTGGGCCTTTTTGTGCATTTAGTTTTTTTCAAGTGGAGATGGACACAGGAACATCAAAAGAGTGATCTGTCTTGTGTTATGGTCATGGTTCTGTTGAGGGTTTGGGAAGGGATGTTTGAGGGGGGGGTTAATATCAATTAAGGTTCTATGTATGAATAGGTG